AATTCCTTTCTGTCTTAAGACATACCTTATCATTTCTTGTAGAGCACAGCTGCTGGCAACAAATTCTCCATGTGTTCCTTCCTCTAAGAATGACTTTATTTTGTTTCCATTCCTGAACAATATATCCGGAAGAATTCTGGGTTGGCTCTCCATAACTTAAAAAACTTCTGACCAGCATGATTTCTTTTTTTTTTTTTTAATAGATTAAAAAAAATTTATTTGACAGAGAGAGAGCGCACAAGCAAGGGGATCAGCAGGTAGAAGGAAAGGGAGAAGTGGGCTCCGTGCTGAGCAGGGAGCCTGATTTGGGGCTCGATCCCAGGACCCATGACCTAAACTGAAGGCAAATCCTTTTTTTTTTTTTTAAGATTTTATGTATTTATTTGACACACACAGAGAGAGATCACAAGTAGGCAGAGAAGCAGACAGAGAGAGAGAAGCAGGCTCCCTGCCAAGCTGAGAGCCCAATGTGGGACTCAATCCCAGGACCTTGAGATCATGACCTGAGCCAAAGGCAGAGGTTTAACCCACTGAACCACCCAGATGCCCCTGAAGGCAGACTCTTAACCAACTTAGCCACCTAGGCTCCCCTAACCAGGATGATTTCTGATGTGAAATCTGTAGTTATTCAAATTGTTTTCCCTCTTATGTAACGTGGCTTTTTCTCTTTTTTTCTTTTTTGGTTTTGACCAGTTCAATTTTGATGTATGTGGGCATGGTTTTTAAAGCTTATCCTATTTTTCATTTGCTGAGCATTTTGGACGGAAATGTACGATTTTCAACAAATCTGTAAAACGGACAGTTATTAATTTCTTGGAACTTTTTCCCTTCAGTGATAGCATTCTCCTTTTGCCGGCAGATCAGTTATGCAAATTGTTCCACAAATCCCTCCACCTGTGTTCATTTTTTAAAGTCTTTTTTTCTCTCCTGCTCAGATTGTAATTTCCCTTGTTCTGTTTTCAAGTTCACCGACTCCTGCCTCTGTCATCTTCATTCTGTCATTAGACACAAGGGATTTTTAAATTTCAGTTACTCAATTTTTCAGTTCTCCAATTCCCTCCCCCCCATTATAATTTCTTTGCTGAGAGAAGTCTATTTTTTTTCTATTTATTTCAAGAGTGTTTGTCCTCATTTCATGAAGCTTGATTATAAAAATGGCTTTGGGGGCACCTCGGTGGCCCCGTCAGTTAAGCATCTGACTCTTGATTTTGGCTCAGGTCATGGTCTCAGGGTCATGAAATGGCGCTGCACATTGGGCTCTGAGCTCAGCAGGGAGTCTGCCTGAGATCCCTTCTCTCTCCCTCTCCTTTTGCCCTCCTCCCCCAAAATAAATAAATAAATCTTTAACAAGAAGTGGCTTTAAATTGTTGGTCAACTCAGGGTTGGTGTCCATTGAATATTTTTTCCTTTGAGTGTTACTGAGACTTTCCTGTTTCTTTGAATATTACATTAGGAGGCACTGTGTTCTGATAAAGTCTTCTGGGGAATGTGGATTCTTATTTGTTTGACTAGGTCATCAACCTGGTTAGGTACTCAATGACATTTAAAAAAAAAAGATTTTATTTATTTATTTGACAGAGAGAGAGAGAGTGAGAGAACACAGAGGGGGTAGTAGAGGGAGAAGCAGGCTCCCCGCTGAGCAAGGAGCCCGACATGGGACTCAATCCCAGGACCCTGTGATCAAGACCTGAGCTGAAGCCAGATGCTTAGCCAACTGAGCCACCCAGGTTGTCCCACTAACTGACATTTTTACCTGCTTTCGAGGATGTAGCTCCCAGTCACAGTTCAGCTTTCACAGCCCACGCTGACCATTTCTCTGGTTTCACTTCTAAAAAAACCCTTAACAACAATACCTGACTACTGCTACTTGATCATTCTCTCATTTCCTCCATTAAAATGGACAAATGTGTCTTGGGACCTAGTTATTCTATCCTCCATGTGTCAGATTTTATCTTTTTGGCTTCTATTTTTATGATGTCCAGCTGCATTCTGGGATACTTTCTGAGTTTCATTTTCTAATTCCCCAATTTTCTGATCAGTTGTCTAATGTCTACTATGGAATAGATCTTTTGAATCTTTTTATTTAATTAACGAGTTTTTATCTATGAAATTTCTTTAGCACTCTTTTTTCCACTAAACTCTTCCTGTATCATGAATGTCATGTCTTCCTCTGTCTGAGGTTTTATTTTATTTAAAATTTTTTTTAATTTTATTTTTATTTATTTGACAGAGAGAGAGAGAAAGAGAGAGAGAGAGATCACAAGTAGCAGAGAGGCAGGCAGAGAGAGAGGGGGAAGCAGGCTCCCTGCTGAGCAAAGAGCCTGATGTGGGGCTCAGTCCCAGGACCATGAGATCATGACCTGAACTGAAGGCAGAGGCTTAAACCCCTGAGTCACCCAGGTGCCCACTGTCTGAGGTTTAATTTATTTTTATTTTTATTTTTTGTCTGAGGTTTTAAAGCACGCTTATTTTTAAATCTCTTCCCAATTTTCAATTTATCCCCTTTGTCTTTGTTGGGAATTCCCACAGTGACTGGGGTCTGTACTCTATTTTTCATGGCATGGTTATCACACACACTCAGTTATTTTGCCACTGAGCTAATCCTCCACAGAAGCTGTCACCCCCATTTCCCCGCACTGTGAGTCCTAAACAACCGACCAGCTTGCAATGGCTTCAGACTCCCGGTTGGTAGGTGTGCCTGGCACGGGGCACCGGCGATGCACAGTGGACTCAGACCTGAGCTCTACACATCGACGCCTGCCCATATTGCACGAAGGGCTTTCGCTCACACCTGGAGAAAGGAGCTGGATTCTGGGGGTTAGCTCGTACCGGGAGAGGGGACACTGCAGTCCCTGTTCAGACAGGCAGCAGCTCACACCGGGAACCCTGTGTCTCCTCTGGGGCTTTGCCCCCTGTCTGCACACATACACAGCAAAACTCCAGATCCTGGGCCCGTCCCTGGGACTCGTGACTAAGCCCACTCAGCGCTGGTCTCTGCTTGTCTAGGGATTCACTCTGCACTTCTGGCACTTCACTTACTCTAATTCAGCTGCGGCCATGAATCTAACAAAGCTTTCCGCGTGCTTGCCGTGGATGTTGGCTGTGGCCTGCAGCTGGCCCCATATGAACTCTGGCGCTGCGGTCATCTCAATGTCTACAAACCACACATGAAACCACCCCAGATGACCCCCTCCATGCCTCCATGATCCCAGCGGTCCTGAGGGTAGAGGCCACTGTGTCGTCACTATGAGGAACAGGAGACTCAGAAAGGGGAATTATCTGCTGAAGAATGACAGTAAATGTTTCAGCTCTTACTTCCATCTCCGAATTGCCTCTTACCCCGTGCCTGGGAAGGAATTCACAGTATGGGACGGAGAGGTCTGCCCAGTGGAGGACTGGACCCGGGGAGGCAGAAATGCACTGGAGGTTCAGAAGGAGCGAAGATGATAAAGAGGGTGCTGACTTAGAGAAAGAAGGAAGTCAGGGAAGGGAAGTGTCGGGGGCAGAGAAAACCCATGATCCCAGGGCAGGAGGAAGGGCCATGCTTCCTTCTGAGAAATGAGGATCTGTCTTCAGGGCACCTCCCAAAGCCTGCCTCTCCCTGGGTTATCCTCCGGGGGTGGCCCCACCGGCTCCTCCAGGCACCGGACAGACGGTAGAATAGCCTGTGCTCCTCGTGCTCTGGCGCTCATGTCCACTCACCCGATCCACCCGGCCCGAGACCCTCTTAACATGGTCCAGCCCATCCCAAGACTCAAGGAGCCGGGCTGCGCCAGCGCGTCAGCCTCCCCCTGCGTCTCCAGCCAGGCCTCTCCTCTCCCCGGTTCATTCCTCCCCAGAGGATCCTTCTGATCACCAGGCTGGTCTGATCCCGTGGGAGGCTCCAAACCCTCCTACACTCTCCTTCAGAAAGTCCAAGTTGTACCATCTCTTCCTCCAGGCTGTGACCGTCAGACCAGCACCACCAGCCCCAGCAAACACAACTCACCCCCAACACCTCCCCAGACACCACAAACTGAGCTATTAACAAGTCCACTTGCCTTCTCCGGCCCCTCAGCCAAGCTGCCCCTGGCCACCTCCTCTCCAACCTGCCATCCTGGCTCACTCCGCTCAACCGCGCAAGCGTTGTGAGACAGGTTTGTGTAAGGGCCTAAGCAAGGAAACTACGTACACGGCCTAAACACAGACCAACACACCGCCCAGGGAGCAGGTAAATGCTGGGGGCAGGGAGGCTACCAACTGTTAGCATATCCTATAGCGTTAGTCGTCTCCAGACAGAAACTGGTTTGACTGACTGCTGGTTAAAATCTTCCCGGGCGCGCTCCAATCCTGTGACAGGCCCCAGCCTCAGTTCTGAGAGCAGCTCGAACCGTTTTGGTGGAGGGCGGCCCCCAACTCCCATCTCTGTGCTACCCCCAGCTCACGCCTCCCGTCACTCCATCCCCCAGAAGGACCGCTCACAACAAGGACCCAGACTCTGTGACGTCTACATGTTACGATTCTCACGATTCCCTGTTTTCTCTTTTCTTTCAATTTGGAACAGTCTTACAAGGCTATAATAGAATCGTTTCCCACCTAAATATTTGTATTGTCTGTTGTCACTAGCCACAGCCCCTCTAGTCCAGGGAACGAGTCTGTCCCCTCACCAATGAGTCCCCATGCCTGGCACCATGACGGGATGTGGCCACTGCTCACTGCACACGGACTGATTGCCAACGTGGTGGGAGGAAGGACGAAAACTTGCGTTGACGGAAGCTCAGGAAAGGGAAGTGTCTCAGCCCAGGTCACCCAGCCTCTGTGTGAGACAGGGCAGAAGTGGAACTGAAATGGGGCTGATTCCCAGGCCCTGCCCTACCTCCCCCAGCCTCGAGTCCTGGAATCAGTGTTGCTCTCTAGACCTGGGCTTGCTGGGGAGGAAGCAGAGAGAGTGGGGTCTGGGGAGACAAGATTCAGTCTGTCTGAGAGGTCCCATGACCTGCTGCTCTCGGGTCACCCTTCAGGGAGAGCAGAGAGAGGCCCTGGCAGAGGCTCTTCCCCTTCCTGTGAGGCCATCCCTCTATGACCTGTGATGAGGAACACGGGGCCTGGGTTGTACCACACCCCATGCATCTGTCTGTCCAGCTCACGCTGAGGACTTTATAAGCTGTCTGCACCGCTGGGGACCATGGGAGGCAGTGCCAGGACTCCGACCCTCACTGCTGTTCTCTGCCTCGGTGAGCTTTCTGGAAAAGAGGAGGGATGGGGTCGCCCCCCTCCTGCCCCCTGGTCTGGGTCCCTGGGAGACCTCAGGACTGGGGATGATCAGTAGGGGCAGAACTTCTTGGGGGAGGCGTGTGCTCAGCCCCAGCTGTGACCCCAGCACCCAGAGGCCCAGACCAGGCCTGGAGCAACTACGTGTGGGTGTGGGAGGCACTCACAGGAACTCTCTTCCAGGGTTCTGTTGGGGCCTGTGGGACCAGGCACAGACAGGTGAGTCTTCCCCAGATCTTCTGTCTCCACCAACCACCCACTGAGCAGCTGAGGGGCATAGAGGGTCAGGGCTGATAGTGACTCATGTGGGAGGGGCCTTGGGATAACAGGTGGGAAACTGAGAGGAGAAGGGCCCCCTTGCAACTCCCCATCTGATTCCTTTCCAGGGACCCTCCCCAAACCCTCCATCTGGGCTCATCCCAGCTCCATGGTCACCAAGGGGAGCCGTGTGACCATCTGGTGTCAGGCGTCTCTGCAGGCTGACCGCTACTATCTGTATAAAGACAGGATCTCTGAGCCCTTGGAGCCCTTGGAGACCTCACAGGGTTCCAGCAACAAGGCCGGTTACTCCATTACATCCATGAGCTTACACGATGTAGGGCGATACAGATGTACATATCAGAGCAGGAAGAGCTGGTCACAGCTGAGTGAACTCCTGCCCCTGGTGATGACAGGTGAGGGCAGGAGATGGTCCCCTCCCCCTGGGCCCCTCCTCCAGGCAGAAGGGAAAGGACTGTGGCTTCACGGGGACCCCTTGTTCACAGCCGACAGTACATGGGGTCCATGGGGTCCGTGGGGTGATGGTCCTGTAACCAGCTCCCTCCTTCTCCCTCAGGACAGCACGACGCACCCTCCCTCTCAGCCAACCCAGGCCCTGTAGTGGCCTTGGGAGGGAACGTGTCCCTCTCCTGTAGCTCATCGTGGCCACGGGGGTCATTCCATCTGCTGAAGGAGCAGGGGGCTGATGCGCCCCAACACCTGGAATGGAAGTTCCGTCGTGAGAGGGGGCAGGGGCTCTTCCACATGGGCCCCGTGAACACCTCCCATGCGGGGACCTACAGATGCTACGTTTCTTCTGAGTCATACCCGGATTCGTGGTCACATCCCAGTGACCCTCTGCACCTTCAGGTCACAGGTTAGGGAGGCCCTGCCTTACCCCATCTACCTCCTGGACCCAGATGACTGACCTAAGCTATATGCACAGTGGAACCCTGAGGTTGATGAGGGGTGGGTGACACTGTTGTCCTGGGGCCAGAACCACAGGTGGGAGAACGTGGGAGGGGCCCATGAGAGCCTCACTGCAGGCTGTGGGCCATGCGGGGAGTGCGTCCCCAGTACCACTGTCCCCTGCTGTCCAGGTGTCTACAGGGCGCCCGCCCTCTCGGCCCAGCCGGGCTCCCTGGTGCAGTCTGGAGACAGTGTGACCCTCCAGTGTCGCTCAGAGACCGGCTTTGACAGATTCGCTCTGACCAAGGACGAGGAGCTCAGAGCTCCCCAGAGTCTAGAAGGGCAACCCAGCCCCAAATTCCCCCTGGGCCCTGTGAGCGACACCCTTGGGGGCCAGTACCGATGCTACTGTGGACACAAGAGCTCCTCCACCTGGTCGGCCCCCAGTGCCCCTCTGGTTGTCCTGATCACAGGTGAGGAGCTCCCTGACCCATGTCCTGTCTGCTCAGGGCCTGGGACCACGGTTGTCCCTGGGTGATGGGGTCCAGGCAGAGGGCCAGGAGCACAGGCTGAGGTGGGGATGTGGTCTAGAGACAGGTACTGAGAAAGGGACAGTGAGGGCCATGGGGATAAAGGACACCCACTCAGAGAGATGGGAGGTGCCGAGAGGGGGTCCCACACAGAGTCCCTGGAGAGAGGATAGTGGCCCCCCACCCAGGGTCAAGAGCATGTGGGAAGGGGGTGGCTCTTTACATGTCATGACCTTCCTCTCCCCCAGGAATATATGGGAAACCGTCCCTCTCGGCCCAGCCTGGGACGTCAGTGTCCTGGGGGGAGAACGTGACCCTGCAGTGTCGCTCTGAGATTTGGTTTGATATCTTCCACCTGTCCAAGGAGGGGTCCCTCGCTCCTCCCCAGGTCCTTCGTCTGCAGGACACAGCAATACCTTCTCAGGTCAACTTCACCCTGAGTCCCGTGACCTCAGACCTCAAGGGGACCTACCGGTGCTACGGCTCACACAGCAACCACCCCTACCTGTTGTCACAGCCCAGTGACCCCCTGGAGCTCCTGGTCTCAGGTAGGGGCCCCAATCCTGTCCTCTTTGTGTCCTCAGGGGAGTGCCAGGGTGGGATGGGAGTGAGGGGGTCACAGGTGACCCTCTCTGGCATGGCTTCTCTCTGGGGTGACCACAGGGCTCCAGGAGCTCTGAGCCTGGGCCAGGTGGCAGGTGGGGTGGTCATGGCAGAGGGAGCAGGGGAGAGCCCAGTGGGGGGAGGGGCACCCTGAAGTGAGGAGCACGTAGCCCACGCCCCTCACCTCCCTGTCTTGGTCCCAGGCGGCTCTGAGGATGCAGCCCTCAGCCCACAGAGGGGTAAGTGGGGTCTCTGGAGGGGGGTGGTGGGTGGGAGGAGCTCAGCCCAGTCTTGCCTCGAGATTATGGTGGGAGAAAGTTCTTCTCACTGGACAATTCCTCGGATTGCAAACCCGAATGCAAGGGGCCAGCAGGTGGCTTCGTCACCGCGTGCGGGGCAGGCGGGGGCAGCAGGCTCGCACACAGCATGTCTGAGCTCGCCTCCACGTCGGGGGCTCGGCCTGAGAGCGGCTGGGGAGTCGACAACAAGGCTTGGGAGTCACACCCCCAGGTTCAGACCCCAGTTCTGCTCTTGGACAAGTCATGTCCCTCTCCGGGGCCCAGGCTCACCATCGGCACAACAGGCCTCCCGCCATCTTCCGCAGCTCGCTGGGAGATTTCAGTCCAAGTCAGGGCCCTCCCCCTGCCCCACAGACGCACACACTCCAGGTCCACACCGGCCCCTGTGGGAGCGTCAGGCTGTGCAGAGTGGGAGATGGGTCTGGGTTGGGTTTGGTGGACAGGTCACTCCCGTGTTCTGTCTGGAGGGCAAGGGGGCAGCACGGAAAAACCCCAAATCCCGCAAGGGAACCCACGGCCTTGGTTCAAGTCTCAGCCCTGCTGCCTCCACCCTGGGCGACCTGAGACATGCGAACGACCTCTCTGTGCCTCAGTTTTCTGTCTGTGGAGTGGGCGGGAGGGGCGGCGGTCATCTGCTGGGTGATCGTTGACGGGGTCAGAGCTGAGTGCACAGAGCGGAGCAGGTGCCTGGCACACAGTAGGTGCTCAGGTAAATGGCATCACTGGCTCATTCATGGTGTGGCTCGTGCACAAGGTCCCCACTGGTACCTGTACGTCCTCATCGGGGCCTCGGTGGCCTTCGTCCTGCTGCTCGGCCTCCTCGTCTTCCTCCTGGTCCGACACCAGCGTCGGGTCAAAGGCAGGAAGCCAGGTGAGAAGGGAAGGGGGTGACAGGTCCCAGGGGGTGGTGGCTGCCCAGTGGGCCGACCAAGGGTGGGCTCAGGGCAGCGGCCAGAGGGAAACCAGAGTGGCGTAGAAGGACTGCAGCATCTCCCAGCGAGAAGCTCTAGAAAGGAGGGTACACGTGGGCATGTGTGAATATTGTATCCTTTTGCCTTTTTGAACTTATGAAATGTTTGGAAACACATACAAGCTTTGTTTTTTACTGTTTAGCACGGCTTTCTCTGTATGGGGGGGGACGGGCAGGGATCATAAAGATCCTCAGCTTAAGGCCCTGGGAGGGTTCGGGGATGGGGGCCTGAGGCTGATTTCCACCTCCCTGCAGCAGCGGCAGCGTCTGAGGACAGAGGCCTGCACAGGAGGTAAGAGCACCCCGAGACCCCCGACTCCCGCTAGCCAGCGGCCCCCTCACTGCCGCTAATACCACTGCCTCCTCCCCAGTTCAGGTCCTGAGGCCGCCGCCCAGGAGGAGACCTTGTGTAAGGGGAAGCATGGGCTGCCCTGGGGGAGGGAGGAGGCGGGCCCAGAGACGTGGGCGGGCAGGGGTGGGCTGGGGGCAGACAGCATCCGACTCCTGTGGCTCTGTAACTGTCACTGTCTCTGGGCTCCTGCCATGTGACTCTCGGGGGAATCTTGGCTAGAGAGGGGCCGCCTTGTTCTGTCCCCACAGATGCTGTCGTCAGAGACACACAGCCTGAGGACAGACAGGACAGACAGGTGAGCTCCCTGTGCTCCGGACCAGGGCACCCCTGCCTCCCTGCTCACGTGGTAAACCCAGCGGACACTCCACCCAGCAGCCGGCCTCTCCCTTCTGGAAGCCCATCGCGCTCTGTGCTGCCGTGACCCCACTCCCCGGGCCTCTTCTCATCTCCAGCCGCAGGGACACTCGGGGCGAGTGGGCAGAGTGGCTGGTTAGGGCTGAACAGCCTGTGCCCCGCACAGAGGGGCGCAACTCCACGCCCTGGGTCTGCGGAGGCCCGGAGAGGACACCTCCGCAGCTCCACACACCCTGGTCCTACAGCGACTCAGCCCTCTGCTTCCCGTTCCTTCTTTACCCAGCAACCCACGGCACGTTCACGCGCTTCACCCTGGCCACCAAGCTGAGCCCCCTGCGGCGGGCGCTGGGTCTGCCTTGATGGCCACCTCAATTCCTGCTCCAGCCTCCCCAGCACCAGATCCCAGGCCCAACCCCGTGTCCACACCACAGGCTTTTCCACCTCACACCCCTCCCCCTCAGATACACCGAAGGAGGCAAGAGCGGGCTCAAGGCCACCCCTCACTGTCTAGCAAGGCCCTTAGCCCCGCGGAAGTGTCATCCTCTCCTCACCAGCCTCGTGCCTTTCCTCTCCCCCAGCTCCAGCCTGCGGTTTCTGAAGACCCTCAAGATGTAACCTACGCCCAGCTGAACCACTTGGCCCTCAGACAGGAGACAAGTGCACCTCCTCCCTCCCAATTAGGGGAGCCCCCGGAGGAGACCAACGTGTACGCTGTCCTGGCCATCCACTAGCCCGGCAGACTCATACTGCCTGCTCCAGGGGTCTGGAAGTCTCCCTGCAGGGACCCCGGAAGGCGCAGGAGCTGCCCCCAGCCAGCCTGGAGGTAGGACACGGACCAGGAACTCAGGAACTCGGGAGACCTTGTGGGAGCTGATTGCTTCCAGAATTTCCAGGACCAGCTGATCTGTACAGTTCCTAGAAGGATCCACAGGAAGCCCCAAGACGGTTCGTTACCAAGTGGCAACCTTTGTGGTGTGGTGGGAATCCAGCACTAAGCTCCAAGAGCTGGGGACCTTCTGGAGGCTTCCTGGCAGCTTGGCAACATCCCAGGACCCAGGGCCATCACGCTGAAGCTGAGCACTTTCAGCTGACCTGAGTCCACGGCCTCAAAAGATGGACTTGAGAGCAGTGAGGTTGCTCAATGTCAAGAACTTCCCGTTTCCCGAGACCAAGCCCCTTCCTCTGTCCCACGCAGCTTCTCTACAAGACAGAGAAAGGGAAGCTGGTCTCCCTCCTGACCTGTGTTCAGAAACTCTAGATGCGGGGGAGGGGAGCGGGGTGCCTCAGCTGTCCCCTCCCAACCACACCAATATAAGTGTTGAAACCAGCCTGTCCTTCCTGCCCAGCGCTCCCCAGCAAATCCCAATTAAACTCGTTTACCCTCGCCTGCAACCCAAGGGTCAGCCTTCAGCTCTGGACAACCCTAACCCTGACTTCTTTTTCTGGGGGCAAGGTCCGAAACGCTAGGGACGCTTGGCTGGCCTTGCCTCCACTTGCTACTTCCTCTGCCCAGAAAGGAATCCCCCACCCCCATGCAAGTAACTGGCCCGAGAACGCCCCCTAACACTGCTGGTGTCCCCACTGAAACACGGAAGTGGTGTTTATGCTGCTCACCACTGTCCCCTTGCCCCAAGGAGTGAGGACCACCAGCTGGCAGGCTCGCCAGGCCCTTCTGAGGCGGCGGCAAGAACTAGCTGGAGGGAACCTGATCAAGGACCCGGCCTGTGCCTCTCCCCACCCGAGGTGCTATGTTCAGAAAGTGGAGGCAGACAGACACACCAATGAACACCAGTTCCAAAGCACTGGTTCTTTTATTATGTGACAGAGAAACTAGACAATCCACGGGCCCCAGAGAGTGGGGGGGGGGATGGATGGAAGGAAGGGTGGGCTCAATCCTCCTCTTCGTCATCGCCGGCGCCAGCCCCACCCTGGCCCTTCTTGGCATTCTTCCTCTTGACGCGGCCCGGGCGGCCACCCCCATACGGAGAGCGCAAGGAGAAGTCAATGTGCTTCTGGGAATCCAGGCGGACGATGAATGATGGGATGTTCACCACTTGCTTTCGGACCCTGGAGGGGGGATGGCAGGTGAAGGGACGGGGAACAGGACCCCAGTGGGAGGAAACACTACTGCTCTCTGCTTGGACTCTGACTTGGTAGGAGGGTGTTCCCGACCCTGTAGCACCTGGGTGTTCTGGAAAGCTTTAGAGCATCACTCGACTCAACCAGACCACGAAGTAAGAAGGGGGAGCCCTGGTGGCAGCCAGTAACCCAGGGTCAGATTCTCAAAGTGGAACCGAGCCAGGCACGGGGCTTTACTCTCTAAGGTCAAGCCTCCCTGTCCCCGAAGCAGCTACCTGAGACCCCGTTCTACAACATCTGACAAAGGGCAAACTGAGCACCCAGAGAAAAGACCCAGCTGTCCCCCAAGCCAGCAGACTCCTATAGTCCTGGCACCTGAGCATCAGACCACGGGCTGTGGTCAACTTGGCAAAGTAACGCTGGTTAACAGTACCAGGCTCTGGACTGAGTCCACGAGTGGGCCCAACAGACAGCTGTATCCATGAACCCACCCACACCAGCTGACGCCCACCTGGGCACACCAAGTGGTTACCTGTCCAGCTGCCCGAAGAAGCCTTCGCAAGGTGTACGGCTCAGGCCGCAGTGACCCTTGCGCTGGGCTACAAGGTGGGGGATGAGGCTGTCCCCAGCACCCCATGAGCTGTTTGCAGGCGCCAATCTTACCCTCAAGGTGTAGTCACACCTTTTGTCACCTCTGAGGGCTGCATAGGAGGTAAGGACAGCAAACTTAGCGAGGGGGATGGGATACAAGACAGACTCAGGGAGCTCCCTAAGGGAGTTACCTGATGTGGCGCTGGCGGATCAGCACACGGGCATGGTGGATGGACTTGGCCAAGCCCAGCTTGAAGACCTGGGTCTGCAGACGCCTCTCCAAGAAATCCTCAATCTTCAGACCCAGGATATAATCCAGCTTCATCTTGCCCTCGTCCAGCACTCCAATGCGCACCAGTCGCCGAAGCAAGGCATTGCCTGGTAGGAGGGAAAAAGCATGGATCGGGGTGTCTGGCTCACCTCTGACTTCATGGAGCTTAAGGAGCTCCACGGAGCTGTGACATGAGTGGGAGCTAAGAACCTGTTCCAATTTAAGAATTAATGTAGCAGCCACTGTGACCATACTCTCATCCTACCAATGAGGGCAAGTGCCCCCACACACCTCTGCTCCCATCTGAAACAACCACCTTCCTTGGAAGCGTCAGGAGAGTAATGAGACAATCCCTAGAAGAGCACTTAGCATCTCCCTGCAAAAAACTATGCTGCTATCACATAACCGTTACGCCCACAATGAAGCCTGGTGGTCAAGAGCCAACCTGTAGTCAGGAAAGCCCCACTAGTACACTGGACCTGCAGTACCTAGCTTCCCCTTCTAGACCTGGGAAAAGCTGCAGGCCAGGTCATGTGTAACAGGAGACACGCTGTCTTCCCATTTCCAAATATCAACAAATACAAAATACCTAGAAAAAGATTTAACCAAAAAGATGAAAAACCTGCACACTAAAAACTGTTTAAAATATTGATGAGAAAAAGACTGAAGACACAGAATGAAAAGCTATCCCATGCTCATAGTTTGGAAAAATACTGTTAAAACACCAGTGCTATGCCAGCAATAAATGAATTCAATATAATCCCTATCAGAATTCCAGAAGTATTTTGTTTCTTAACATTTATTTCACAGAGAGAGAGAAAGAGTGCGCACGCATGAGCTCATGTGCTATGAGCACAAGAGGGGCTTGATCCTGGGACTCTGGATCATGACCTGAGCTGAAGGCGGAGGCTTAACCCACTGAACCACCCAGGGGCTCCGCCAAAGATGTTATCCGCGTAAGTAGAAGAATCAATCCTAAAATTTGTACGGACCACAAGACTCCACAGCAATCTTGAAAAAGAGAAAATGTTTGCAAATCATGTATCTGACAAAGGTTAACACCTAGAATACACAAGCAACTCTCAATCAATAGCAAAAAGCTCCACTGTTATTTAAAAATGGGCAGAGACCTACAGATGGCCAACAGGTGCTCGTTGTCGCTGATCATCAGGGAAACGTGAGTCAGAAGCAGTGAGATCACCTCACACGTGTCAGACTGGCTAGAACTAAAACCCAACAGACAACGGTGCTGGTGAGGATGTGGAGAAAAGGGAACCCCTGTGCAGCTGGTGGGAATGCGAAGTGGCAATCACTATAGAAACCAGTATGGAGGTTCCCCACAAGTCAACTATGATGATGCAGCAATCCTGCTTCTGGGTATTTATCCAAAAAGAAAAGCGTTAACCCCATAATCACTGCATTATTACCAACGGCCAAGCCATGGAAACAATGTTAAGTGTCCACAGACAGTTGAATGGATACAGAGGGAGGGAAGTATATACACACAGTGGGCATGACTCAGCCATAAAAAGAATGAAATCTCGCCACGTGCAACAACGTGGATGGACCAAGTGCATTCTGCCAAGTGGACTAAATCAGAGTCAAATCCCATGATCTCACTTGTATGTGGAATCTAAACAAAACCACCAGCATCACCAAAAAATACCTCAAGATGATAAAGAGAATATATTATGCGGCTGCCAGAAGCACAGGGAAATAGGTGAAGGTCATCAAATGTACAAACCGCCAGTTATAATACTTACTGTATAGTACAAAATTGCTATCTTTTTTTAAAAAATATTTTATTTATTTGACAGAGAGAAATCACAACTAGGCAGAGAGGCAGGCAGAGAGAGAGGAGGAAGCAGGCTCCCTGTGGAGCAGAGAGCCCGACGCGGGGCTTGATCCCAGGACCCCGGGATCATGACCTGAGCCGAAGGCAGAGGCTTTAACCCACTGAGCCACCCAGGCGCCCCCCAAAATTGCTATCTTAAAAAAAAAAAAAAAAAAAAAAAGGATTTTCCTTATTTATCAGAGAGAGAAAAAACACAAGCAGGGGGAGCAGCAGGCGCCGGATCGATGCAGGGCTTGATCCCAGGACCCCGGGATCATGACCCAAGCCAAAGGCAGATGCTTAACTGACTGAACCACCGAAGTGCCCTGTATCTTTTTTTAAGGCTTTTTGAAAGGTGTTAAGTAAACTTACTGGGATCATTTCGCAGTATACAGAAAAATCCAACTGCTGTGCTATACATCTGGAACTAAATAATGTAGTCCGTGAATTATACATTGGTTAAGAAAGAAAAATAATATTCAAATATTAATTTAATAAAAAGCCCGACAGGCACATCAAAACAAGTTTGGGATTATCTACCAGCTCGGACACTTTTCTGTCCTTATGCTAGAGAACAGAAACTTCAAGAACTCGAAGTTTAAAATCTCTTGATAGACTTCTACGTAAAATGAAACCACTATCGGGGCGCCTGGGTGGCTCAGTGGGTTAAGCCTCTCCTTTCAGCTCAGGTCAGAGCATCGGGCTCTCTGCTCAGCGGGGAGCCTGCTTCCCCCCCCTTGTGATCTCTGTCAAATAAAACAACAACAACAAAAAAAAACAAAAAAACCCCACTATCATTAAAAACAAACGTTTTTCACATTTACTACTGAACCACGCACACACTGTTAAAAAATGGGGAGGCCCAGCCACTCCATCAACACCAAAAAGCCTTATATATGTATAATAAGTAATTTTCAGTGCACACTGAGTAAACTTTGTCAACAGGAGTGTGTCCAACGACTGGAGAGTTACCTGGGCTCCATCTGGACAAAGCAAGGTCAGTCACAATGCCTTACAACTGGATATTAACGCACACAGTCCTCAGAGGCGGAGGCCCTTCTCGGTCATCACGGCACTAAGACAACTCAAGTGGCTTAGTTCCTGAGCTGAAAAACGTGGAGTACCAGTTTCCCCACGGCTGCCCTCAGGACAGAGCCCATCCCTGGATGGACCCCTGGCCACATGCTGGCTACAACTGGTTTAAGAGGCTTTTCAACAGACCAGAATCAGAGAAGCTTCTTGCCCTACTGCAGCTGTCAGTGGGGAAGGCTGGGCCTCAGGCCATACCAGCGACAAACGCCTGCAGGCACAGGCAGAGACTGTGGGCCCCTCCCTCCTGTCCCACGGGGATAAATGGCTGCGTCTGCTAGAAAGCCTACAGCCTACGGTGCTGCCTTCCCCCGTCGCTTCCACTTCTGCCACAGGAAACCACAAACACTCCTGGGTTACCTGCGGATCAACCCTGCCCAGCCGGCCACGCGCCTGCCTCTCTAGGGCGGACTTGAGCAGCTCATCTTCACAAAGTCCCTCTGTCCTCAACGACCTGTGGCTGGCTCCCCAGACTGGGGGATGAACTTCCACCCGAGCATCCCCAGGGGAGGGGATTCCTGAATTTTTCACCACTGTGTGAGCTGTTTTTGGTTAAACAAGCTCCACACCTCTCTCAACTTTAAATATGCAGGGGGTGCTGCGCACGCCTGGGTGGCTCAGTGGGTTGAGCCTCTGCCTCCGGCTCAGGTCATGATCCCAGGGTCCTGGGATCCAGCCCCGCACTGGGCTCTCTGCTCAGCAGGGAGCCTGCCCCTCCCATCTGCCAAATAAACACACAAAGTCTAAGAAACAAAACAAAACCGTCCAACACGAGCGACCACCCATGCTCAGCCGTGAGAGGACCCTGGTCAGCGTCAGCACGGGATTCCCAGCCCCTCCCGCTTTCCACCACCAACCACGGCTGCCCAAGCTCGGGCGCAGAGCGACACCAGGGCGGTGCGAGGCGGCCAACCTAGGGTCACCGCCAAACCAGCGGTGGCGCGTGTGCACTGTGCCCCCACGTGAGCGTCTACAAACGAGGCACCCCTTCCTCACCTGGGGTCATCGGGGACTCCCTTCCCGGCCACAGTGCTGACGCGCGGGGTCCCGTTCCCCAGGCTCCCGAGCACCGCAGCCCACCCCCACAGCGGGTTCGCGGCCGCCGACCCACCGCGGTGAGGGGCCCGGAGACGCTAACCCCGGGGGCTGTGCAGCGCCCCCAGGGACGTGCGAGGGCTTTCGAGCCGGCAGCCGGGGAGCTGGCATGTGTCTCTCTCACACGGTCTCTCACACACACACTCACCCTCAAACAGGCGCCGCGGGTCCTTCTCGTCCAGCGTCAGCAGCTCCCGCGCGGCCTTGCGGATCTTGGCCAGGGTGAACTTGACCCTCCACACCTCACGTTTGTTGCGGAGCCCGTACTCGCCTGCCGAGAGACGGCGCTGCTAGCGGGGTCGGGCCCCGGGGCGCACGCGGCACGCGGCACGCGGGCGGCCCGGCCCCGCCCCGCCCCGCCCCGGAAGCGGAAACCCGGTCCGGGCCGCTCACCGATCAGCTTCAGCTCTTGGTCGAGCCGCGACTTCTCAAAGGGCCTCCGAGGGGTCACGTAGGTCTTGCGACAAACCCAGCTCCGGGCCACCGGCATGTTGGCTGCGTGCGCGCGCCTGTGCGGGGGACAAGCCGGGCGCGTGAGGAACCGCCTCCGTGGCCCACACCACCCGCACTGCCGCGGGGCAGTCCCGTCCCGCCCCCTCCCAGCTCGTCAGCTTACTCATCTAAGGTCGGGGGTTCCGCACGACCTCGTTACCCACACCCTGAGGAGAACGCAACACACCACACTTACCCTTACCGTAGCCTCCGCGCTCCGGGAAAGAGGAGCACGCGGCCCCCGGCCACGCTTTTATACCAACGACGCGGCCTGGTGACGTCAGCGCGCACGCCGCAGGCCTGCACCAATCAGAAGGGGAAGCATTCGAGACGACACGTCGGGCCAGAGCGGCTAGCTGAGCTGGAGGACCGTGGCCCCGTGCCGACGCGGGTCGCGGCGCACGCGCGCTAGGAAGATGGGGGGGGACGTCTCCCCCACTGTCCTGCTCGGGATCGTGTGAGTCGCGACGTAATGGTCCCCTTCTCTGGGCCGCAGCCGCAACCGCTCCGTGGAACACCCCCACCCCCCACGACACTCCCAGGGCTGGAGCCTGGAACCTTCCAGGAGAGGCCCGGTCAGTTCCCGACTCCCGAGGTCGCCGGCTCTCAACGTCCCGTGGCCGCACACCTGTCTGGGCAGCCCGCGCAGAGGCCAGGCCTCCCGGACGCCTGGGTGTCCTGCGCCGCGCCGTCGCGTCCCCACGGGGTTGCAGTCCTGCCCCCCACCATCCCCACACCGGGAATCGGGCCTCCCCCGGGGCCTCTTCCCGGGCCCCCCCCCCCCCCCCCCCACTTGAGGGAAGTCGCCCTCCTGCGCCGCGGGCCTCCTTCATTCACCCCAAACCGCGGCTCGTATTTTGGGATTTCCTTTGGGTTTGCGGAACGGGGAGATGTTCTGAAACCTCTTGCTATCTGTTCGCCTCCAGCTTGGCGCTGTTTATCGCCTGCAGCAACTTACAGTTTCTTGACCTCCTTTCTGGACATCTGGTCCTCACACAGGCTCTGGGATGGCGGGCGCACCTTGGAGACCCTGGGGGCTTAATTCCAGACCACCAAGAAAGCACGTAGTAAAGCAAGTCAAGGGACTTTTGGTTTCCCAGGGCATCTAAAAGTTCTATTCACGTTACAGGGTGGTCTATTACGTGCGCAACAGCGTGTCTAAAAAACCCACAATGCACACAGCTCAATTTTAAAAATACTTTATGGGTAACAAGTGCTGACCGTCATCTGAGCTTTCAGAGTGGTAATCTTTCTGCTGCTGGAGAGGCTTGCTGTTAGGGGTTAATTGGACACGTAGGTCCTCAGGGTCAGGGTCCCCAACAAGAAAACACAGAGCCAGGACAGCTGAGAAAAAAACCGCACTAGCATCCTGCTTCACAGCTTAGACAAAACCATGATAGCATTCTGACTAGCAGCTTCTGCAGAAGCGACTTTTGCAAAACATCCCGAAATAAAACAATTAACCGTAAAACATTGGTCACCATCACAAGTTGAGGCATTTAGTCTCCAGATCAGCCCTAAAGACCATCAACAAGCAAACAATAACCCAACAGGTAAATGGGTGCATGATCAAAACCCTGATTGGGACTTCTTAGCAGCCAATCTACAGCAGACCCAACTCAGGACGCTTAAGATAGTTCCTCCAAGGAGCTTATAAGACCCCTAGACTTGAACTCCAAAACAGCGACCTTCTTGAGTTCCCTTCCTCTCTGCGAGCTTTGTACTATGCTCAATAAACTTGACCGCCCATCACTCTTCATTGGGTCTAACTCTTCATTCTTCGAAGCAGTGTGACCAAAAACCATGGGCACTAAGGGAACAAAAATCCTATAGTGTTGCCTCCACCATGCTGGTGGCTGCTACGTGGACAGGGTGGCGGGTGCTGAAGATGGAGTGGCTGGGGAGATTCTGAAAATAAGACAACAGTGAAGTTTGCCCCATCGATCGACTCTTCCTTTCCAAACTTCTCAGTGGCAGGTGCTGCTGTATGCCAGCATTTAACCGCAGTAGAACTGCTTTCTGTAGCTGCTTTCAAAATCGGAGTCGATGCTCTAAAACCCTGCCACTGTTTACCAAGTCTGTGAGATAGTCCAGATCCTCGGTTGTCACTTCAACGACGTGCACAGCATCTTCTCCAGGAGTAGCTTCCGACTCGGGGAAGCCCTCTCCTTGCTGCTCCTTCAGAAGCGGCTCCTCGTCCGTTCGAGTTTGACCGTGAGCTTGCCGCGGTGCAGTCCCTTCTTCTGGCTCCACGGCGACTTCCGGTTCTCTTGCTCTCCCCAACACTCCGGTAGTGACTTCCTCCCCGAAGCCTTGAGCCCTTCAGAGTCACCCATGAGGGTTGGAATCCACTTCTTCCAAACGCCTGTTAAGGCTGGTATTTGGAGCTCTTCCCGTGAATGACAAATGTTCTTTTATTTTTTTAAAGTAGCCTCCACAGGCGTAGAGCCCAGTGCAGAGCTTGAACTCACTACCCTGAGATCAAGACCTGAGCTGAGGCCAAGAGTCGGATGCTTAACCGGCTGAGCCACCCGGGCGCCCCAAATCCCAAGTGCCCTTAATGGCGTCTAGAATGCTGAGTCTTCTCCAGAAGGTTTTCAGTCGACTTTGCCCCGCTGCATCAGAGCCGTCACTAAGGCAGCTGCGGCCTTGCCAATGGTGTTTGCTCATGCTAAGACCTGGACGTTGAAAGGACGCCTTGATCCAGGGGCTGCAGGACGGGTGTTGTGTTCGCAGGTGTGAACACAACATTAATCTCGTCGAACATCCCCATCGCAGCCCCTGGGTCACCAGGTGCATTGTCACCAGGGACAAGGATGGTTGTTTTCCCTCTGAGCAGTAGGTCTCAAGACTGGGCTGAAGATATTCAGTAACCGTGTTGTAAAGACACGGCCGCCATCCAGGCTTTGCCGCTGTGCGACGGAGCCCAGGCAGAGGAGATGCAGCATCATCCCCGAGGGCCCTAGGAGTCTCAGAGTGTCCCTGAGCGCGGGCTCCAGCTCGAAGCCCCAGCTGCCTTAGGCCCTGGCAGGACTCAGCCTGTCCTCTGCGGCTCTGAGGCCGGCGCTGACTTCTCTCCAGTGATGAGAGTCCTACACGGCGTCCTCCGCCGGCGGGAGGCTGTTCCGTGCACACCGGAGACCCGTGGTTAGCGCAGCCGCCGTGGCGGATCACGTCAGCTGGCTCCGGGTAACTCGTGGCGGCTCCTGGGTCAGCACCGGCTGCTTCACGTAGCGCTGTCCTGGGGACGGCTTCTTTCCTCCCACCTGCCGAACCACCTCTGCGGGCTTCAGACGGGTGTGCAGGCTCCACGCCTCCCTGGGCCTTCACAGAATTGAAGGGAGTCAGGGCCTTGCTCGGGCTGAGCTCTTGCAATAGCGTTCGCGACCTTTCCCTCTGTGCTTACGGCGGGGCCGTTTGCCGCAACAGACCTGGCTCTGGGCCCGAGTTGGCCTTCGACCCGCCTCCCTCCCTAAGCTTAGTCAGGTCTCGCGCTGGATTTAGAGGGAGAGACGTGCAGCTCTTCCTTTCACCGGACCCTGGCAGGCCACGGTGGGAGTATTAACCGGCCTCATCTCAGTACTGCCGGGTCTCAGGGAACAGGGAGGCCCGGGGAGAGGGCATGAGACGGGGAACGGTAGGCCGATGGGGCGGCGAGAACCCACATTCATTGTCTTACGTGGGTGTGGTTTGTGGTGCCCCAAAACGATGATAGTGACATCCAAGCTCACTGATCACAGGTCACCATCACACACACACACACACAATGATGATGATAAAGCTTGAAATATTGGGATAATTACCCAGATGTGACCCAGAGACACGAAGTGAGCAAAAGCTGTTGGGAAAATGGCACCAGTATATTTTTGGATGTGTCTGAAGCATATGTGTGTGTGTGTGTGTGTGTGTGTGTGTGTGTGTGTAATGGTTCCTTGAAGCATTTCCATTGCATTGGCCTTGGAGTCCTTGTCCAAAACAGCAGAGAGCTAGCATCTATGCACCTGCTCTTTTTCACTCCAAGGAGATTTTCCTGGCTCTTTTTTTTTTTTT